GCACCAAATGCTGTTTGGCAGGCTTAGTAAATACTAAGAAGGCATGATTTGAACTAAAAGTATGAAGGAAAAGGAGACATTATCTCATAGACTAAGAGAAGACGTGGTTTTCCTGACACAGAGATTAGCACATGCCAAGTGGACACCTATGTTTTCTGCAGCTTGAGTGAAGAGTGAATCTGCAGAAAACGCAGATCAAACCATAAAGCTGTATGGGAATGCAGGCATGATTGCACTCATGGTCTATGTTTAGGTACATCAGAATTTTCCTAAAATTATGGTGAAACATGGAAAGATTTTAAGCAGGTTGGCAATCTGGTTAGAATTGGGTTTTGAAAAGAAAACTCTGGAGGCACTATGGCGGATGGATTAGATGAGCTGGGGTGGAGGTATGAATGTCCATTAAGAGACATACTCGTTCTCACCTTTAAGTGCATAGTGCTATCTGATCAGCATCTGTATGAGAGCCTGTACTCTTGATGTAGCCTTCCAAAGAGATAGGGATTCAAGTGTTGCTTTAAAATGGGAACGACTATCAACAACTGTCAGATGTGGTGTGAATGACCAAGGGAGATCGATACTGCAGCAGAGGGTGATCTTGGGCAGGGAGATGGGGTTCTGCTGTTTTGATGGGAATCAATCCTACATATACCATAAAGATCTATTTCTTTAGTGGGGAAGCCTATTGGGGAAGGTCTTGCCCAATGTTAATCTGACAACACTATTGGAGAGATTTGGGCATTTAAATAAACTACAGAGAATGGATGTCATGGTGAGAGCTATGGTTTGCGTTGTATTAATAGATGCTGATGGGTATTAGGAAAATATGAAGTAGTTGTGATTATTTCTTTTGGGGGTCACTTTTTTTTTATTAAATGATAGCTGTGTGGGGGTCACTTTTTATTGGTAAATATTTACTTGATTTTAGACGTTTACTTTACCATGCCTCACATCACCATTGGGTATCCAAGTGAAGAACTAATCATTTTTGTTCAACAAATGTCTGCAGTGTCTGTCATGGGCTTGCTCACTGTGTGAGTAATGATCTAATTTGAATGACTAACCAAGGAGATGACTTGAGGGGGCTGCTTATCACTTAGAATGCATTAAATAGCTCCAGATTTTCTGTTTTTTTCCCCCTAATGAATGTTTTGTTCCACATACTTGTCAGAGGATATCTTAGGGAATATACATATATATTCCTTCCTAGCAGAAGGAATAAGATGGTAGTTCTAAGAAAGGGTGTTAGGAAAAACACTAGGAGATAAGTTTAAAAAAATATCATATCCAGTGGTGCTTTTTAAAAGCATGAAAAGGAGACAAAACAAGGTACACGCTTCTCAGCTGCTGTTGGGTCAGTGATTCATTTCCCCCCAATTGTCAGTAGAGAAAGTCCAATCACCAAAAACAGGAGATGGAGTTGAGAGGGACAACTGGCAAGGAAGGAATTTTAAGAAAAACAGATACAACTTAATTTCTGACCTTTGATACAATGACAAATACTAAATTGCTGGGGAAAAAAATCTCTCTTTCGGAACTTCTTTCCTTCTCTAAATGAATCAGAAGGAGAACTTCCAATGAAATTAAGGTTCTAACATTTACTGGAGATGCTGTCCCTAAGTTACAAATTGAAATCCAACTGATAAGAAAGGAGATACATATTTTGTCTGTTTACCTGTTACACAGCTCATCAAATTATAGCAGTTGATATAGATTAGGGAGTTCATTAACCTATTATTTACAAGTTCCATAGTAAGAAAATAAAAGTTTTATTTGCTTATGCAAATAAGCAAAGCAAAAAAAAAAAATCCTTATGTTTCTAATTTTGAAAACTAAGCCAGTATGTGGGGTGAAAAGGTGTGATGTATTCCCAGAACCTCTGAGGGGAACTAAGAGGCATAGCACATCTTTTTGCTGTCCTGACTCTAAATAGGTTGCAATATAAAGCAAAGGGGGACTAAACCCTTACTGCTGCTGGAGGCTGAGCCGGAGGGTGCAACCTCAGGTCTGCTAGGTAAGCGTGCCTACTGAAGAACCTCAGGGTCTGTTTAGGATCAGCGTCCCCAGGCACAGAAAGCTGCAGCAGCTTCTATCCATGGAGAAGCTGCAGACAAAGTCTGCTCACCGCAGGCTCCCAAGATACAGAGCACACTCAGTATCTCTTCCCACATTTACTCCTCAGCTACCTCAATCCTTGTCCTCCAGAGATGGAAAGAAGAAAGGAGTGGAGAAAAGATGTGTATATCATTTGAGTCCCCTCCCTGGAAGGAAAAATCAGGAATGGAGAGAAAGGACCCTTCCCTGACCTGTATCCAAAGGCACAGATCAGTGGTTCTCAGCCTCCTAATGTCGGGACCCTTTAATACAGTTCCTCATGTTGTGGTGACCCCCAACCATTAAGTCATTGTTACTTCATAACTGTAATTTTGCTACTGTTATGAATTGTAAACATCTGATGTGCAGGATGTATTTTCATTGTCACAAAGTGGTCAGGACCCACAGGTTAAGAACCGCTGGCATAGATGAAAACTGCTGAGTATAAAGAGATGGTTTTATAGATATTTCATGAGTCAACTTTCCTATTCCTATGACTGTATCTTTTA